AAGGCGCGCGGCCGGGCCCAGCTACCCCGTCAGGTAAGGTCTCTTCCGCCCCCCCATCCCCACATTAATTTTCATCTTTCCTTCCGAATCCCCGGCCTCGAGTAATCTCATTCTTCCCTCGACCCCGTCTCGCGAGTCCGGACGGGTCCCTACGAAAGCCCGAGGATGCGCTCGCGGCCTACTGCGGCCTACTGCCGCCCGAGTGCGTGTGTGAGGCGCCGGAGCCGACGAGGGGGGTGGGAAGGGTGGCCCTCTTTCCTCCACTTGCGCATTGGGAACTAGGGAGCCCGCGCGGGACCGTTGTTGGGGAGGGGGAAAGAGTTGGAGAGGCCGCAGGGGGCTGGGAGGGGGGGCGCTGTTGCTGCGTCACATTGGGCGGGATCTAGGCCCGGGCCGCGCGTGAGAGAGAGAAGGGGGGGGGAGAGAGAGAAAGGGCGGAGATTTCTGCTCTGGGAGGGGGAAGGCGAGATTGACGCGAGCGCGGCCGGCTGTGAGTAGGAGAGAATGGAGGAGGCCCGCTCGCGGGCACCAGCGAAGGCAGGAGAGCGGGCTGGCTGGCGCGCGTCGAGTAGAGAGGCCGAACGGAGGAGGCGGAGGGAGTGGAGGAGAAGAGAATGGCATCGCTGCGTCTGGTCGTTTCCAAACACGGCCCGTGAGCGACACCGCGCTCTCTTCATTCTCTCCCCTGCCAGCCAGCCATGAGGGGGAAGCATTGAAAGAACTTTTTAGAGTTTCTAACCAATAATCAAATCCTAGGCCTGTTTCTGCCCAGGGCCTTTATAGAAATAGAGTCATTTCAAAGTTTTGGCGAAATGTGTAAAGATGTGGTTCTAACACCACACACACACATGGGCTCACGCAGGAACGATGGGCAAACCAAGGTGGGAAATAATACATTGTGTGCAATAGGATTTATTTATTTATTTATTTATTTATACCTCGCCTATCTAGTCATTTCGACCACTCTAGGCGGCTGAAACCAAGTAAATAGGTCACAATTAAAGTAGGCCCCTTGAATTAGTGGCACTTACATAGGTATTGACTCATCAAATCCCCTCTGATTCAATGGGCCTACTCTAGTTGCAAATTAATTACTGGATTTCAGACAGCCCTTAAGTATGGAGGGACAGTTTTATCAGTTTGTTTATTCTTGGGAATTATCAGTTTAGGAGTGGGAAATAGTTGGAAATCTTTGGGGAAAATGAAATATTCCAACTAAAAGTTTACTTGTTTATTGCAGTGATATCCAGAACTTAGGATAATTGGTAAATTGGCCTGCAGTATGACACAAAAATCTGTTTGTAGATGTACATAGTCCTTTCCAAGTGTTTGGTTTTGAAATTTGTGTTAGGTTCAGGTAGATATTCCAGTCAGTGCAGTTTTGAAGCAGGCACTATTGAGACAACTGAAGAAGAATTTAGTCAAGCATTAAATAATGTGCTCTACTGTATGGAGCAATTAGTATAAAATAATATATATGGCAAAATTAAATTTTATGCACATTTCGATGTATAATATTCTGTACTCTGTAGTTTTAGCCTTTTCTATTCTGCCAAGTGTTACATTTGTTTTTTTTACATGTTTCATGGTTCGAAAAATAAAATAGTTTCTGTTGGGAGTTCCTTGCTGTTATGTTTTGCCCCATGTTTTTGGCACTAATACTTTTCTTTTCAAAACATCAGATTGTCTTAATTTTTTAAAATTAAATAGCAGTGTTTGTCAGTTTTACCATGTATAGCGGATGAAACAAAAGCGTCCTGGCACCTTTAGGGCAAACAGATAGGTTTCATGAAATAGAATCCACTTCTTCAAGACAGTTTTCTTTAATCCTTCATTTCCTAAACCTATTTATGTAGTTATTTCCTGTTGCTGAGCAGTAGTGTGGAAAAGGCCATTGTAAGTGCAAGAATTTTACTTTCTCAGTGTCTCAGGGTTGAATTTTCCAGCATTAAAATTAGTTATGGGCTCTACCAAATCAAGTCATGTATTTCAGCACATGGGCAAGCACATAAGTAGTCCCTCAGATATTAAATCAAGAAAGAGTTTCAAAATCCTTCTATAGAGGGAGCTATGAAAGTAACTGGGGATCATCTGCTGAAGCCGTAGTAGGCTCAGCAGTGAAGCTGAGACATGAAAGTGACAATTGATCTGTCCTAGCAGAGAGGGAGATCACATTGTTCAAGGGAGATACTTTGGGGATCAACTTTAACCAGTAGTCTCCAGCAAGCATTAACACATTTGGTTATCAAGTACCCAGTGTGTGAATAAACACATAGGTGTAAACCTCTGGGCATCCAGTGATTAGTAACAAGCACTTGTAAATCTCAGTTTTGACTACTTGCCAGTGGTATACAGCTTGAGGGTTTCCTTCCCTCCCCTCCCCCCCAAGACAGAACTTAAGTCTGTTTTGGAAATACATAGCCATTGCCCTCTGTATTATACTAACAATCATATTTGAACAGAACACTAGAAAGTTTAGGCTGATATCTTTAAAAGGTAATTGTAAGCAAACAGTAATAATGAATTCATTTTTCCCATCAGAAAATATTAAAAAGTGTCATTTTTCTGTTGTAGTTTGATTTTCTCCCAGCGACCAAAGATTTGACCACTGACTAAGCCTGACTTAACTGAACATAGCTCAAGATGGACACTGGTGTTATCGAAGGAGGTTTAAATGTCACACTTACCATCCGCCTACTTATGCATGGGAAGGTACTTGTTTTTCCTTGTTTGCTTTAGACTGAAACTAGGTCACAGGAAATGTCTTGGAAAACCCAGTTGTCTGATCAAATTAAAGCATCAGTTTGCTCTTGGCAAACCGTGTTCTTTGCTGCAGAGTGCTTTGTTAACCCTAGTGGAGGCTATCTATAACTTAGCAGTTTTAATAAAGCAGTTGGATATGTCTTGAAAAATGTTTTGTCCACTTTTGTTTGTAATGAGTTTAATTGGATTTTTAAATAATATTTTAGTAAAATACGATTCTGTCTCAGTGTTATCTGTGCAGATGGTTTATTAGATTTTTAAATGTCAGCATTTTCTCCCATCAGTTTTTGTTCTGTTTGTTTCAAGAGTGGGAATTTTAAGGCATTAGAAGGATAACTACAGTGAAGAGGTGTGCTTGCATCCCAATGATAGTGAACTACAATTTTCTTTGTTATTGCAGGAGGTGGGAAGCATCATTGGAAAGGTAGGTTATCCAACTTAATTCTTATTATCTTACCTCAATTCAGATTGCAAATGTAAATAACCAGTTTTTCCCTCTCTTCGTGTTTTTCTTTGTGTAGAAAGGAGAATCTGTAAAGAAGATGCGTGAAGAGGTAGGTCTTGAGAACAAGAGCAGAAAAAAAAACTGGACATTAAATAGGACAGCGAGGAATTCTATAGATAAAAGAAGCAATCAGATACTAGCAATTTTTACAGGGACAAGGTTTTTCTTGCTCAATTTGGCCATAGCAGTATATGGCTTTTCCAAAGTGTATTAGCTGTGGAACAAGGAAATTTTCAGGGGAAGAAACAGCAAACACTTTTTTTTTCAACTTTTGAAAGCCATGATTATGGGTTATGACTAAAATGGGGACTGGTATCTTTTGCTCATTTATTGAGGAGTCTGTTTTGCCAGATTCAGCAGGTCTTATTTAACCAGACAATCTAATGGAAGGTGGGTGGAGAATCATAAAGGGCAGTTCAGTTTGATAACTGAAATTTTTTATCTTTTCAGAGTGGTGCTCGCATTAATATCTCAGAAGGGAACTGCCCAGAACGGATTATCACTCTTGCTGGACCCACTAATGCCATCTTCAAAGCATTTGCTATGATCATTGACAAACTGGAAGAGGTATGTGCTTTGATTAGATAAACTTTGGGGATTTAGGACGTGAACAGAAGAAACATGGGTATACTCCACTTGTAACAATGCTGAGATAATGTATGTTTTCATTTTCTTTATTTCCAGTGGTACTAAACATAGGGGAATATGCTACTTCAGACATGAAAACAGTAAACTTAATTGAACTTTGGTTACCAATATAGCTTTTTTTTTAAAGAATCCTGGAACTTTAGGTTTTTTCAATTATATAGGTAAATACTACCAGAGCCTCATTTTTGGAGCAAGAGGATAACACACCTTTTGTTGAACATGAGCCTTAATATAGCTAAAAATGTTCAACTAAATTATATGCTGTTTAGATTATTACTGAAGAATATGAAATGGGTTCCTGAATTTGCTCCCAGTTTTAAAAGCATTTCCTAAACAAAGTTTTGGTCTGTGGGTGTTTTCACCAGAGGAAAGGGAGGAGATTGCTTTCATTGTTTCATCCGTTGCCTTGGCAAAAACATGACCCAAAGGATTTGGGGTCATTCTGGAACATAAGGAAATGGGGTAGATAGTTTGGGGGGAATTGCTCTCCTTCTATTAGTGGAATTCTCCACTGGAATTCAGTTGTGTCTGATCAGAAAGAGTGGTTCCATTTATGGAAGTTTAGTTAGAATTCAACCTGTTGAGAACGTCATGTGCCAGCAAAAGCAATTAGTTGATTTTTAAACTGTATGCTTTAAAGAGAAACTCCATCACCTTTAGAAGAACCAGAAATATGACTAAGTAATCTCAAATTGATGTGAAGCTAAAACTTGCAGTTCATTGGACCTTCAACATATAGTCATTACATAAATTTTTTGCATTAATCCTCTTTCCCTGTGAAGCCTTTTGTTGCTCTATAGCCAGGGTTTTTGAAATATGTGTCAGAGCTCCAAGCAGCAAGAGCAGGTGCTTCTGATTCCTTCATATTTTCATTTGATGGGTCGTCCTGATGTCCCCAACACAGTGCATTAGTCTGTTCTGTCACTCATCCCATCAGAAGAAGTTGAGTGGAACAATAATCAAATAATGTGTCTCTGCACCAATCAGTTTCATGCTTCCACGGAGCAATAAACTTGTAACTTCCCATGGCCTGGATTTAAATATGCATTTATTCTTTTGTAATTGTTGTCTACTTCCTCTTTAATCTGAAGAAACTCAGCTCTTGTTATTTTTTCATCTTTGACTTAGTTTCAAGCTCACATTGAAAATTGACAAGTAGTTATTCTAGAGTGTAATAGGTTTTCAGTTTTTAAGAGTGAATATTCTGATGTTGCAGTTTTGAATTTGGATGAAACAACAATGAAGTGTTTCCTGGATTAGTGACTTGGGTGAAATTATGTGCTCACTTGGTTAATACCTTCACCTCTTGTCAGGACTTTAACCCCTGATTGTGTAGAGCAGCTTCAAGCTGGCTTGTTCTGTAAGCCTCAGTTTTAATTTTAATAAAACGGGGAGGGAAGGTTTTAGGAAGGTGGGAGGCTACTTGTCCAGTGAAATCTAAATGTGAGTAGGGTTGTCTTGAAGCCAAGTAGCTGATCACATGAAACACTGCAATTTGCTGGTATGCTTAGTTGTGCCTCTTTAACTTTTGAAATGCACTGCCTAAGCATTGGCAGAATGTCAGTAATCTGAGAGGACTTTTTCTGTTGGCTCTACCTCCTGAAAAGCTCGACTCCCTGTCCTTGACTAGGGCAAGATGGTGTCCCATTATGCTCCTGGCAAGGAGATTTGCAGTGTGTTCAACACAGTAGCTGTTGCAATAACGAGAGTTTATATTCTTACTCTATGCTCATATTGACACTGAGATTGTGTCTGAGGTTTTAGAGGGCTGGAATATAAGAACTGGCATAGGGAGATAATTTTTGTGTACTGTTGCTAGACCCTGTAAGAACAGTGGCTTTGTGTTACTGGCCAATTCAGAGTTAACTGATCCGTTTACCTTTCCACTTCTGGTTTTATAGTGGAGGTTGTGGCTACTACTTATCAGTCTCAGAAGAACAGCGACTTTGCTCTGCTTTTATAGCGATTTTGCATAGAATTTGTCAGCAACTGTGTTCTTGTTTTATTCTGCAGAACAAATATCTAGAAAGTGTGGGGAAGAAATCCCGAGTGTTCTAAAAATTCTGTCTCCTTATATAGCCAACAGATCGAGAAAATGTGCATGCTCTAGATTCTGCTTGCTCTCAAAGTGATTTATTAATGGTTGATTAACATGTTTGTCTGCTGTGTACACAATTCTTGGAGGATTTTATAGTACAGGAGAATGTATTGTCAGCTGAGATAACGGGAGAGGTATGAAGTTATTTAAACAGCTTTGCTAGTTTCAAAATTATTATTGCTTCAGCCTAACAGTTGACTGTGTGTTTCTGGCCGAGCAGATTCAGTAATAGTTATCTGGGAAGAAAGTATAAATATTAGTAGAGGTGGAAGTGATGGTTTATAGTAACAGATTAAATGCTTTAGTTTCAGTCTCCTCCTACTGCTTACTCTGCCAGAACTTCACCTTTTTTTTGGCCTCCTAAGTTTCTGAATATTGTTAGCATTCATATGAACAAAGAACTAAAAATAAACTAGTAATCTTGGTCTTCATTAAATCTTCATTTGTTTGAGATTTGTTTATGTCTGTTTGCAGGATATTAGCAGCTCAATGACCAACAGCACAGCTTCTAGCAGACCCCCTGTTACTCTGAGACTTGTGGTGCCCGCCAGCCAGTGTGGCTCTCTCATTGGAAAAGGAGGCTGCAAGATCAAGGAGATAAGAGAGGTGTGTGCCGAACTCTGTGAGGTTTGATGACTACTTCTCTCTGTCATCAAATGCTTTTTTCATTCTTCATCTTGATCTTCTCCTTGCCAAATGTATTCAGGTTGAATACCACACATAGACTCTGTGTCATATTGCTTAATACAGCCACTTATATTTAGTGCTTGGGAAACTGAGATGGAGGGCAGCTGGAGCCAGGCAATTTTTTTTATTTTTTATTTTTGTAAATTTGCCCTCTGTTCTCGGTCTCTTGTCCTCTATCTCCAGGATCAATTTTGTTGTGAGATTAGTGGCAGTCAGACGCCTGCACTGAGTTAGCTGATGCTTTTATATTACTTAGCTCAGGTTATTTTTTAAAAATTGTGTACTTCCTGCTTCTTTGAAATTTATCTGGACTTGGAATAAAGACTTGCTATATGCTGTTCATTTGAACTTGGGCTTTGTTTATCTGAACTATTGTATTCTGGGAAGTATAGCACAGTGGCAAGCAGTCCTGCTTTTATTTTATGTTGTGAGTGTGCAGTTACTGATTTTCAGTTCATCATATTGTGGAACAACGGTAAAAAAATTATCTATTTAAAGTATTTCTACCCCACCTTTCTTAAAAAGGAGCCAAGGCGCCTTACATCCTTGAAATACAATATTTAAAGCTGAAAGCAATGAGTATACAGTGGACCCTCTACTTACGGAATTAATCCGTATTGGAACGGTGGCTGCAAGTTGAAAAGTCTGTAGGTTGAATCTCCATTGACCTACAATGCATTGAAAACCTATTAATCCCATAACTGGCAGTTTTTATTCTATTTGTGTTCCATTTTGGTTTTTTTCTGGTCTGTAGGTCGATTCTCTGGCTGCAAGTCGAATCTAAATTTTGCAGCCAGAGAAGTCTAACTCGAAAAGTCTGTAAGTCGATCCGTCTGTAAGTCGAGGGTCCACTGTACAATTGTGGTTTGCATCATTAAAATATAATATTTAAAGCTGAGAACAATGACTATAAAAAGAAAGCTTACGTCGTTAAAATACATTATTTAAGTTAAAACAATAAGTTTGTAAATACTAAAAAGGAACAAATAGCACTCTGAGAACCAGTCAGAGAAGTAATGCATAACAATACTTCTAAAAGTCACTCATGTAGCCAGTTACTGAGAGAACGCTTGCCTGAAGATACAGGTTTTCTGAAGGATAGCAAAGATGGGGCCAGCCTGGCCTTCTGTGGGAGGGTCAGAGTCTTGGAATAATGACAAAGAAAAGGCTCGACAATGGAAAATTTGTCGTCTGATATTTCCTTCTTGGCCTCAAGCGTGCAAATACTCCTTTCCCCAAGTTAATTATGAGCAAAATAAATGGATTATATGAAATAAAATAAAAGATGTGTTGCATTAAATTTTAATAAAGTGAAATATGGAATGTATAAAGTAGCATGGTGAGGCCTGTTTGACTGAGTTTTATTTTACTTGCAGAAATTTGTAACCATAATTAAGATTAAGGAGTAATATAGGTCGGGTGGTTGAGGCAGGAAAATATTTGCCTGGTAACTGCATTCTGGAACCCCCTGTTTTGGGATTTGACCTTCATTTCCAGAGTATTTCACGGAATTTGCAATGCTAACAATTTTTCCTGTTGATGAAAACAGGATTTCTAAGAAATGTGGAATCTCATGCTAGAACAGTGTAGTAGTAGCAGTAGTAATTGTTGTTGATATTGTTGTGTGCCATGAAGTCAGTTTTGACTTACGGTGATCCTTTTCAAGGTTTTCAAGGCAGAGAGTACTTGGAAGTAGTTTACCATTTCCTTTTGGTGGCACCCTGGGACTGCACAGCTTGCCCAAGGCTACACAAGCTGGCTTTTCTGGGATGCATAGTAGGGAATTGAACTCTCAGCCTCTGGCTCCAGAACCAGATACCTAACTCACTGAGTATCCAGTATTAACAACACTATAGTAAATTTGTGCCCCTTGTATGGCTAGCAGTAGTTTGCTTTGAACAGGGGGGAAAGTTGTGCTGTTCTTGTGTATTAGAACAAGTAGCAATGCTATAAGCCCTGTAAATCCTGACGTAGGATCCCTGACTTGGTATTTTCAATCTTAAGAGCACAGGGGCACAGGTCCAGGTGGCAGGAGACATGTTGCCCAACTCTACTGAAAGAGCGATCACCATTGCTGGGATTCCACAGTCCATCATTGAGTGCGTTAAACAGATCTGTGTGGTCATGCTCGAGGTGAGTAATGGGAATGGGGTGGCCTGTTTCATAAGCTAGAAGGCTAGTATCCCATGTAGAGGGATAACTTTAGAAAAGTTTTGCAGGAGAAGGGGCATGTTACTAGGTTGGGGCCAACTGCTTTCTAGCTAAAGGACAGCAGGTAACGAATTCCTGTGGTGCCAGCTGCCTCTGTGTTTTTGTTTCATGAGGCAGCAGCTGGAAGCTTCATAGTGCTTATACAGCTTGGCTTAAGTGATGTTTGGAAAAGTCTTTGGGGACTTGATGGTAGAGAAACCAAGGGGTATCTATCCATGGCACTCACTGGCTAAGAGAATCCAGTTAGTGTAAGAGCAGCTTTAGTGTCCAAAGACAGTTAGACTGCATCTGAAGGCAGTTCTTGTTTTGAAGTCAGAAAATCACAAAAATGGCAGCAGTGTAAGCTCATGGCAGTATGCATGGGGGAACAAATCAAAGACAGTAACAACATTGCTGCTCAACACAAGATACAGGCAAGATTATCTGTTGCACAGTTTTCTTGTGTTGTGGCTGTGTGTGGGTGGCTTGGCTGTTGCCCCTCTTGGCACTTGTTTAAGGGAAGCTTTCCTCATATGTCTGCTTGGTTCCAGATATTCCCATTGGACTAACTAAGGAAGTTCTTTGAAACAATAGCTTTTCCTGTGGAAGGCTGTCTGGAAGCTCAGGCCACAGACTAGTTAGTCTCAGGCTTCCAGTTTGCCATCTGCTACAGTAAGCTAATACAGCTCCAGCTCAGACAGCTCAGAGACTGATCAAAGGAGAAATGTACAAATCAAAAATAAAGCCGTTAACTTAAATACGTCAGAAATTCATAGCCTTTTCATAGTTACTCAGTTTGTAATCTGGTGCATAGAATCTTTAGTAATTTATTACAATTTTCCTTTGACTCTCCCATAATCTAGTCTCCCCCAAAGGGTGTCACCATCCCCTACCGACCCAAGCCATCCAGTTCTCCTGTCATCTTTGCGGGCGGTCAGGTAAGGCCATTCCTCTTGTTGGGCATGGGTGGGGGTGAGAAAGTAGTAGCCTTACTGAGCTTCAACACTGCCAGCACACATCAAACCACTCTGCATGCTTTATCACCTGTGCTGCCCACCTGGCCAGCACAGTGCTACCTCTGCTGCTTTGGTTTTGTTCTTTGGAGGCTGCTCTCGAATGGTCAACAGGCTCTGAGGTCCTTTGGGAATTGGTATAGTCAGCACTTTTGGGTTGGGGGAATTAGTCGAAATTTGAAATCGGCTCCTGATTAGCAAATTCAAATTTGCCTTCAGTTTTGAGGCAGTGTTAAATTAGAGATTGTGATAGGCTTTGAATCATGCAGAGCAATATTTCTAAAGCAGCAGGGGCTGAGTATTGAGAAGAACAGATATTGGGACAACTAGAACCCAGAAGACTGGGGAAATGAGGAGGAGATCCTGTTTGATGTCATAATGGTTTTGAGACCAAAATCTAGAACATACCAGGATTGCATTCATTTAATAAAGTGATAATGATTTGAGGCCCAGTTTCAATGCCACCTTCCTTTTAACTATGTCTTAAGGGATACACTAGCCTAATAACATGCTAAATATTATTGAATCTGACTGGCTCTCAAATACAAGTCTGTCAACTGCTTCAAGCACATGGAAAGGTGAGGCACAGGTTTGGGTAAAACAGGACACTGTTGTGGCCATTGTAGGATGGGACTTCAGTCTTCCAGCTGGCTGGAATCCTGGTAACCATTGTCATGTATTTTTCTTTCTATGAATCTTGCTTGCTTGAATGGGCTGTGTGAGTTCAGGTAGATTCTGCAAGGCATTTTAAAAGAATAACCAACCCTTGCAGATACTTGTGGCCATTGAGGGATACAGATTCTGTGTGAGGTTGAGGCATGCAGACCTGAGAAGCAAAATATATCTCAGAACTTCATGACCTGGGAGGAGGGCTCTTGCATGAGTATATATATGGAGTGGAGTTGGAACACTGAGGACTTGGTCACTCGACTGCTTTTGAGCACAGTGCCTCAATGCCCACCTGTAAGCTGTAATGGAAGAGGGCTACGTTTGCAGTGCAGATGCCTCAGATGTGGATATGGCAGTGGGGGGAGAAACTCAGCAAATTGGAGACCATGAAGGTGTGAGGGATGGTGATGCTGGATGTTAGTGGATAATTTTCAGTCAGCAACAGAAATGTAGAGGCAACAGCTGGACAGGTCTGGCTGTAGTGTGCTTGATGCTTATACATTCATATGCCATTTCTTTTGAGATACCTGGCTTTTAACCTCTTGCTGGGGGAAAGGTGCTGTCACCGTCTGGTTCTTGCCTCAAGCTCTTCCCTTTTTTCCTCGTCCCATTCATATTACCTACCCTCCCGAGGCTCTTGACAGCTTGATAAGCGGTAAATTGAGAATGAAAAGGCATATGGGCAGTTACTGAAGAAACCTGTTAGAGTTCATTTGCATCTTAGAGGCTGGTCTTGGTGGCAGGGTCTCCCTATTACGGTGTTAGAGAGCAAGACAAGACTGTGCCCATACCCCTGAAGGTGCAGTTGGTTGCGGGTTTGCCCTCAGGGAAATCTCATACTGTTGTCTGTGCTGCTGATGCGATGGGAGCCAGAGTAAGCCAGTGTCTGTCTAGTATAGGTTAGCCCTTGATTAGAGTAAGCTTTATATGACTTTGGTGTTAGTGAAAGGTTTCGGATTGACAGCCCTGGAGACTGAAGTCCTCTATTTATCCACAGGACAGGTACAGCAGCGGCAGTGCAAGCTACCCCCACACCGCCCCATCAATGTGCCTCAACTCTGACCTGGAGGGACCACCTCAAGAGGTGAGAGGGGAGTTCAGTCTCCATGGCCCATTCAATCCTTGGCCTCTTTGAGACTGCCAACAAGGGTGGCAAGACTGGTGGCGGCGGCTTGTGCTGTGAACTTATGTTCACTGGGAACTGGATTCAGGCCACCAAACAGTACCTGGCAGGCTAATAGACAGCCTTGCAGGTGGTAACTGCTTGGTCAATTCCAACCCGGGCTGCTGCATTTCTTTCTGTGCCCTGTAAGTGAGAGACTTGTACTCCCACAGCTTCCCTTAGTGTTAAGCAACTCCCTACACAGTGACTACCTTGCTGGGTTGCTTCAGTACGGGAATTCCCAGAACCGTCATGTTTGGCTGCTGCTGTTCTCCCTATTCTTGCAGATGCATTTCTGCCATCCAACATTGGGCTTTAGTTTTCTCCATGGCACGTTCCTTAGCAGTAGGGAGTGTTGGGGCAAAGTAGTGGGTGGGGATGAACACCCAGCTGGTTCCTCTTAGCTTTAAAAGCAGTTGGAGGCATAGGAGGTGATAAAGTTTCCCTTTCGGGGGGTCTGGTGTGGAGCATATGTAGGGCAGGAGGGCTTGTAGCACTGTCCAGTCCTCCACTACACAACAAATCTTCACCTACGACCAGCTGTTAATATCATCCTTTTTGTGGTGGGGACTAGCTTCCCTTCTCACGCTGTTCACAACTAGTTACTTCAAGCAGCCCCCTTAAGAGACCTGCTTTCAGGCTCCCTACCAACAATTCTCCCCCTCAGCTCTCTGGCTTCCTGGCTAGTTGAAATCTATCTGTCACTGGGTGGCTGTCCAATGGTTTTTAATAGGACTGTTTTCCTCCTTTTTATAGGCCTATACCATTCAAGGACAGTATGCCATTCCACAGCCAGATGTAAGTTTTGTTTACACTTCTTGTCTTGAAACCACCCCACTTCTCCCTTCAAAATTTCTCCATGCTTTCTCAACAAACAGCTTTAGAAGTCTGTTTTAATTTGATACCGCCATCTAACCTAAAATGATCCTCAAATTCGTCCAGCACTTCCTTGTGTAGCCAATCTTAATCTGTCCTCCTTTTTCTGCCAGCCTGTGACATACATTTGCACAGCAAAGCTTGGTATACTTTTCCAAGTTTCTGTTCCCCTCCCCTTCACCTCTCAATATGACGCAAAATCCCTCCAAATAATTAAAACAAAACTCCATGGTATACTGTCATTGTGGTTCATGGTAAATGGTGTATAGGGCCGTTGATGTAGTGCATTTGGTGGTGGTGGTGGTGGTGGTGGTGGAAGAAGAGGAAGAAAGGCTGCCCTCAGACATCTGCTTTCATTCCAAACATGATGCCCAACACATCATGTAGTAACTCTGCAGTTGTGAATAGAAGGTAGTGGGGCTTTCGCTTGGAATGCCTTTCTTTCCTTGACACGCTTCTTGCTACTAATAAAGCCATTAGCAATCTTCACGATGTAGAAGGATTTCCCCCCCTCTGTCCTTCTTTACTAATAATTCCTGGTGTTTGGCTGGATGACACACTTCTCATGAAAAGGGTGCATAGGAATTTGATCTCAGCTCATAGCATAAGTAGAGCAAGAAAGAATGGGACTGGAATGAGTAGGCCTAGTGGGGATAGCTAGCAACTTGTGCTGTTAAATACTGGGGAGAGCATCTGACTCCATCCTAGTCACTCATGATATACCTCTCCCCTCCAAATGCTTGACAGAGTCCTGCATGGTGTGCTCCCAAGCACCACTGCAAACCAGTCTCTGTGTTACTTTGCCTGTTTGTGCTTTGTCTCCTAGTGTTTGTCACAACTCACTGCAGGTTCCTTCTGTTGAGCCAGGGTACTTTGAGATGGGTGTTGGCCTCACGCCCCATGGTGCTGTTATAAAAGTGCTTTCTTTCTGTCTGCACCCATCTCTGCTCAGGGAAGCGCTTGCTCCTTAACCCAGTCTCCCTCTTTCTGAACTTCTGCCCCAAGAGGGGCAGCACTTCATGCTCAGCTTGCAGTGTTTGTTTTTCTTTGAAGTGTGTGCTGAACAAGTAAGCCTGCAAAATTGCTAACATCAGTTTTTCTCTCTCCCTTTTTAGCTGACCAAGCTGCACCAGTTGGCAATGCAACAGTCACACTTTCCAATGTCTCATGGCAACACTGGATTCAGTGGTATGAAATTTCCTTCTTTCTTGTATTAGCTAGCAGTCCACGAATCATCTTTAAGCTGTCAATGCAGATGCTGGCCTTAAGCTCCATTGTCTCACTGTAATATAAATAAAAACCCACATTTTGTGGGATGATCTTCACTGTCCTTGAAACAAGACACCATTTTGCTATTAAGCAGAATCACCAATCTGCCTTCCCCATTACTCTTTCAGCAGCTTTGCCAGTTACTTCATAGCTTTCAGTGCAGCAATCCTGACAGTTGCGTCAAATAGTTAAAATCTTGTCTTATGGCTGAAAGTCCAGTAGGGCTTCAATTAGGACCACCACACTTATTTTCCCTTGTATCTTGACAGGCGTTGAATCCAGCTCTCCAGATGAGAAAGGCTATTGGGGTAATGACCAAAAAAACACCTGTAGTTATTCTGTTGTGTGTTCATATTGGTGGGAGATTCTTTCCCAGTCAGCAAATTCTGTTAACCAAATCACAGTGCAATATACAGCAAAATGCAGAAAGCAGTGTGGGTTTATTGACTAAGTTTGAGGAATTTCTCTTCACTTGTGAAAGAGATTTGACTGGGACCTGTGTTAGAATGTAATGGAAGCAACCAAATCTCATTTAGTTGCAACGTTCTTTGCTTGGGAAGGTAATAGGTCAAGTACAGATGTTTAGGCAATAGCTAGCTTGGATCTATAAATACATGTTTTTCATGGTAGTATCCTTTCATTTGGGCACCACTGCTCATACCTTTGATGCTTGTGATATGTGAACATTGACTTACAACTGATGCTTGAATGGAGAGATAAAAGCGCATGATTTTGGAGGGGGGTGTCTGTTTTTGCTGCAGTTTTGTAGGAAAGTTGTATAGAAGGTGGTGATGGTAAATTTATTTTGTGGACATTGAACAAACTTGGGAGTTGTCATTTTCTTCCATCTGGCCTACTAAAAGCTATTATGTCGGTGTCTGCTTTATAACTAGAAATTTTAACTGTGGTGCTTAGAAAGAGGAAAGGGGGGCTTGGATTTAACACCGTATGTCTTGCTTGTCAGTTTGAACCTCTTCAGGATAGCAGTTTTTCCAGCAACAAATGCTAACCTCACTTACTTCGCCTCTGTTCTGTTCTTGCCTTCTCTGCATTACGTTAAACTTGCCTTGGTGTTTTTCCCCCCGTTTTCTTTGTCTCAGCAGGTTTGGATGCATCGGCTCAGACTACTTCTCATGAACTCACCATTCCAAATGATGTAAGTATTTTGTAGAGATGCAGAATTTTGGTTGACCTTGGATACAGGTGGAGGTAGAGAGTCCAGGTTCCACGTGCTCCTGGGTTTCTGCCAAGATTTCCATCAGAGGGGGTCAAAGCAGTAGGAAAATAATACGAGCTGTGGAGAGTTACAAGTATTCTCCTCTGTTTATCAAGCTATTTGGTGCCCTATAGGTATTTTAGACTAGCATGGCTCCCTGCCAGCATGGCTAATTGTCAGGCTATGGGAACTGGAAGCCCCTTCTCTAGAAATCAACATTCATGCACCCAACCAACCATCTAATGGGCACCAAGTTGGTAACCCTGCTGTATGTATTTTTATCTCTAAAAATTAAAGTGTCGATGATGGCTTTGGACATGTAGACTCCTTGTCCAGTATGCTACACGGGTTTTGTTTTGAAGTGAAGTGCAAGTACATAAAGAAATGTATGTGATTTGAAGCTCATGTGGCTGAGACCAGTGCATGGACCTCTTCATGGCACTGAGAGCGTTACATACAAAAGAACAATGGAAACAGTTGTTTCACTGTTAAAGTTTTGCAGCCAGCCTTCTGCGGTGACCTCATCCTGCCACAGTGAAGTCAGCCACTGAAACTTGGGGAGCCTAGACTTTAGATATTGGAAACAGTAAGGCTTCTTTGAGCCCTAATGTATTTGTTTTGTTTCTGCAGTTTAATTAGAGCTGCAGTGGTGATTATATTACTGAAGTTCATTTACAAATAATGTTCAGTGTCCTGTTTTCCATGAGTTACGTTGGTAAAGTAGTCCAGTAGAGCAGAAGGTAGTCTTGAAATACACAGTGGCTGTGAGGATGCTTGCAGAGAGTACTGGACTAAGTAGATACCAGTCTGATCCAGCAAAGCCTGTCTTCCTTGATCAAAACTGTGCACTCTAGATTAATTAACTCTTAAATATGAAGGGAACTGGGCCTTGCTTATGCTGGGTAAGATTGTGTTATTGGTGGGTAGGGATTGTAATGAAAATTGCACAGATACAGATGCAGCCTGCAAGGATATTAGCTTTGTAATGGAAGGAGAAAAAGGTTGGGTGCATGAATGTTGATTTCTAGAGAAGGGGCTTCCAGTCATTCTTCTAAGCCGGTGTCGCCCAACCTTTTTTGAGTTGGGACTGCCCCCAAGGTATTTTTAATGGGGTAAAGAAAACACATTGAAAATACATTTTTCAGAATGTAATTCTACCGTAATACATTAATAATGCACAGTAATGGGGGGATTTGCCTCTATCAGATAAAATTCGAGAAGGAAAAAACGTCAGTACACTTTGAGTTTAATTTACTTTTTGCGTGTGGAAGTGACCCTTCATGTCTCCTCCCCCATGGCCCCTCCCTCTCTCTGGTTCTCCTCTCATCTTTTTTGTCCCTCTTACCTTCTTCCTCCATAGCTTGCCCAGGGGGAAACACCTCCCTTCCCACCTCCCTTCACTGTATTGCCATCACCTCACCCAGAAGAGTGGGAGATTCAGACAGAGTGAAAGGTGTTACTGCCATGGCAGCAGCAACTTTTTCAGTTCTGCTCCCATCTTGGGCATCAGTGTTCACAGCAGGCACTGTGCAGTTGCCACAATCAGGCATCTTTGAGCTCAGGTCTGAAGGGCTGACATCAGTCCACAAACAGTGGATGCAGAGGAAAAAAGAAAAAAGAGTGAGAGGCTCTTAATGGGTACAGTTTTTAATTGGCCCAAAATAATATTCAGAATGCGCTCAGATGGTATGAAGTAGTACATGCCTTGCAGTGCTTCCGTCTTGCCTCTTACATTCAACTGTGTCAAAACAAAAGATAGATCATCACATGGCCGCTGATGCAGGAGTTATAATGTTGAGGAAGCTGGTAATCAGCAAATCAGCTTATTGTCTGCAGACAAAATACAAAGCCAGAATAGGCAACATGGCACCCCTTGGATGGCTTATAGTACAATTCCCATAGTCCATAACCATTTACTGTTTGGGCTGGAATTTAGACAAATTCTATAGGATTTTTATATAGTTATATAGAGCTATCAGAATTGTATAGGAACTAGTAGGGAAGCCATATGAAGGGGAATTGGGTTGCCTACCCTAAATGTTGAAGAGTTGTGTGATAAGGCTGATAATCTAGGTGACTTTTCTGTTTATAAACAGTTAATTGTAATCTGTTGGAGAAACAACTTGAAGGATAACTTAAAATTTGAATACTGGTTTCTTTAATATATAGGTACCAGCAGAGGAAAGCAGCTTATTCTAAATGTTTTTCAAATAATTATGTATCAGCTTTTCTACACATGGCTCTGTTCTTGCTCAGGAATAAAAATGGCAATGCAAAATGAGCAATTAATTCTCTTGGAATCTGAAGCTACATATAACTTTTTTTGCTTCTCAGCTGATTGGCTGTATCATTGGGCGTCAAGGCGCCAAGATCAATGAGATTCGCCAGATGTCCGGGGCGCAGATCAAAATTGCCAATCCAGTGGAAGGATCTACTGACAGGCAGGTTACCATAACTGGATCTGCAGCCAGCATTAGCCTGGCTCAGTATCTAATTAATGTCAGGTAAGTTTCTTCAAAAGGCATGCTGATTTTCAGTGCATGTATTGGCAGAACTGTGGAACACAGTTTCTTTTAACCAGGGCAGTATTCTGAAAGGCTGTCTCTTTGAGTTGATGTAGAACTCTCCAGGATACCACTTGGACCCACCCCACCCCACCCTCTCACCCAATGCAGCAGTAGGAGAACAAAGCTTCTGTTTTGCGCAACTGACTCCTCTATTTGCCAGTATAGAAATAAGAGGGAGAGGGAGTAAAATAAATCGAATACACAACAAGAACTCCTTTAGCTGTCACCTCATGGTCTGTCTTTTACTAGACTCTTTTTGGCTGGTGCCAGGAGTAATCAGCACCACTTCTTGAAATTCCTGTATCTAAATGGAGGTAGATTAACTATGTGAGGCTTAGTCTATGTAAAAATTGCTAGGCTTAGTTGATGTAAAAATAAGATACTTATTTTCTAAAAACACAGCTGATGCCTTTTTCTAGGAGCCTGGAAAGCTGTGCAGTTCATTAGCACAAGAGAGGAAAGCAGAGAGCCAGCACTGCCCCGGGGGACGTGGCTTTATGCACTGTAAAAGCTCCTGCAGCTCCTTTTCTCCCTCGCGGCTCTTGCTAGCAGCACAGTTCCATGAGGAGCTTATGGGCTGCAGCAGTGCTATGCAGCAGACAGTGGCTGCTCCTCAGGCCTTGCCCTGAAAAAGCCTACTTGGCAAGCAGCCCTCTGCAGCTTTGGAGCAGATCAGATGATCTCATAAGGCAAAAGTAAAAGCATCAGCTTAATGAGGAGTGTTGGCTTCAATAATTAAAAACCCAGGCCTGAGCAGCTGGCATTGTGTGTCCTAGATTTCCGCCTGCCATCTCTGCTGTAGCTGAAGTACTCCTTGCAAAATGGCAAGCTGAGTACTGTATATATCATTTGCAGGCTTGGCTTTTGAATATACAGTGGGAAATTTTTTTCTGCCATAACACAGATACGAAAGCTAAAAAGCGCCCGTCCTCCTCTCCTATTGAAGAGTCGATGGTTCATAGCATTGCATGAGCCATGTTTGCATACATATGTTTGCTCACTATGAACATGCTAAAACAATTGGATTACTGCACTGTCGTTAATGCCTTTCTCAGAGGAACCACGTGTGTCTCTAAATTCCTTGGACAGAGTTGCATATATTAAGGTGCCCAGAAACTGTTGCTTCTGTTTAATTTCAGTGGTGCAGCAGTCTGGCTTAGTGACTCAGAACCTTGGTATAGGAAGCTGGTTGAAGTAGATTCTTGCCTGCCAACAATGGACACTGCACAGCCTTTTTAAATGCCTTGCTACTTACAAGTAGATAGTTTTCGACTTGGGGATTCCATTTTGGAGGCTCAGGCAACAGTTCTTGTTGCGTGTGGCAAGCACTACCAGTTATGCTGTACCTGCACTGGTACATTCTGCACTTTAGGGGGCTTCAAGAAGGAAGGCTGCTTTGTGAGTAGCTTGACAGCACTTGCAAATGGCTGTTGTCAGAGCAAAGATCGCTAGTGATGACTTAACTATAATTTGAATCTCTCAGCTAATTGGAATATTATTCATACAGTGCCAGAAACCTCCCCCTGTGTGTAAAAGAGCTGAAAACAGCCTATGCCCACAGGATTTCAGTATTAAAACATTGAAAGAGAAGTGCTATATAACAACAATCAGTGTTTTGCATTGTTGTCTTTATGCTTGCCCTCTAAATTATATTTGCTTGATGTGTGCACTATTCAATATATTTGCGAGACGTCCAGTGGGTCAGGGCTGGCTTGGCATTAAGTAGCAGGGGTCAATCATTCTGAGCAGATTTTGGAAGAGGCACAGTCCTTCTCATATCTCACCTCTCTTCCCAGAAGGCATTAGAAAAGAAATGAATCTGGAGTTAGGGCTGGAAGCGTATTTGGCTTCCACAGATGGTGCCTTTTTCCCCCAGTGAGCTCACATAAGGCTAACAGTTAACGCTGTAACGTTGGTGAAATTAGATGGTGCAAAATCTAAGAGAACAGTGGCCATAACTGTTGTCTGCTGGTTTTCTGAATGTCCTGAAAAACTCAATTATTGGATTTCCTCAGGCATTTAATTGTAAACAGATTTACAATTTGACCTGTGCTTGAATTGCCGATGTGACTCTTCTGTAGAAGCAAGTCGCTCTTGATGCCTTTCAGTAAATTTAGAAAGGCTTGCTCAGAACCTCAGCTATATAAAGCAATACTGTCTAGTAAACTCTTTGTAGTTGTAACACAAAGTGATGTAAGCCTTCGCTCAGCTGTGTGGCTTCTGTTCAGATTTTCTTGTCATCTGGTCCAATTCTAGAGAATGGGCTCCTCTGTTCCAACAGTGGAGGAAACTAGGTCATGTTAAATTTCGGGGAGTTGTGCATGGAGCTTGCTCCATTAAGGCTTCCCAGATTGAGCAGAGCATAACACACAGAAGTGGTTTGCTATCTAAATGCATGTTTGGAAAGCTGGAAGGAGTACCAGACTTTGGACATTAAGCATAAAGGAACATTTGTGTAGGCAAGGTGGCGGGGGGGGGGAGTGGTTTCTTGTAAGTACATTTGTGTAAGAGATAAGTTTTTTTTGCCTGCATTATGTTTGTGCTTAGTATTTCACTGTAACATCAACACAGTGTGCTCCATAGCTCAGGGCTGATGTAACAAAGTTGTTGCTTCTGAAATCCAAATGCCACTGAAAGCTGGCACTCTTGTTATTGAAGGGGATTTGACCTGGGACTTTAGGGGGTTATACTTTGGGGTCTTATCAATGGACCTTGGTGCACCTAGAGAATGTTGAGATTCCCTTACAGCCAGCATTCTCTCCCCATCCCACACCTTCTGGTTATGCTATTTCTAAACTTTCCCAGACTAGGGCTCATGCTTTTTAAAGATGTTTTGTGTCCTGTGCTTTTCTGTGTGGTGTACCCATCCACCCCCCCCTTTTTTTTTTTCTTTTTTCTCCTTTTTTAGTTTAGAA